GTTGCAGGAAATAGAAGCTTTCCCGTGACATGTAGCAGCGAACTATTGGCTCTCAGACTGCCAACAACAGGCTGGATGCCGCTAGGAAGGGAATTGCGACACGAACATGCATACGATGAACGCGTAGTACCAGTCTGCATCCTCCATTGACAGACGAATCTTCGTGGGCAACATGCCCCCGGGGACCTGCCACCGGGGACATTGTAGTCCAGCTGAGGCGTTCCGCTAATGCACCCGGGTCTAGTTCGGGAGAGGTATCACCTCTTGCGGCGCTAAATGCAACACGGCGCTAGCTTACTGGCTGTCAGTGTGTCGGATTCTCGGATCAAACATGACATGTTCGGTAGATCGCCGATCGAAGATGAGGGCTAGGCTACGGGCTTTCGGATATCTCCGCCAGTCGACCTGCAAGTGGCAGATAGCACGATGCGGAGATGGAGGTGCGGTTGCATGGCCTACAGCTTCGATAAGCTTTTCTTTGTGAATATAATGTGGCAAGATGACTACGGTCTTCCTTGACCCACCATCAGAAAGTGGCTTTTGGACTGCCAAACTCACTTCCCACATTTCTCGTGAATCTCTGCCATCCATCGTCAGCCGCTCCGATCGCTAAAACCCAGCAAGATGTTCAAGAACAAGCATAAGTTCGAACTACCGTCGTTGGGACGCGGACGTTCATCGGACAAGGAGCTCTCTGTATCTATCTTGCCTGCTGCCGACGATAACTCCGTCGTCGAATCTCCAACAGTAGGCCAAGTCACTTCAGCAAATGAAATGCCGGGTAGTCTACAGAATCCACCAACCGACACGAGCAATGTTAGCAACGACAATGAACCAAGAGACTCGCCGGCCAACAAATCGAACGGCTCTACATCGGAATCAGAAAAGGTCATCACCAGAGATGAAGTCCTAGGCAGCATACGCGATGCCGCCATGAAGTCGAGTCTCGTTATGGGCGCCAAGGAACTGAGAGAATCCGCAAACAGTGAAATGGCCAAGGTCAAAGGCATCCTGTCAAAAGACAATAGCTCCAACGACGAAAAGCTAAGAGGTCTTCTTCATCTTATCCTGAGGTCTAGCACAGAGCCTAGATTGTACAACGACCACTTGGACAAGTCGATGGACGAAGACTCCGACATCCTGATCAGCTCATTTGGTGGACAAGTAGATGACATCTCAGTCCCCCTCCGCATGTTTGACTTGGATACCATGAACTTGGTTGATACGGGTTTCTTTGGAGAGGAAGATCAGTACTGCATGCTGTCTCATAGTTGGAAAGGTGCAGAAATTGACTATGCGCTTGTGTGCGAAGCCCAACATGCTGAAGAGGCACCAGGAGGGCTGACTGGGTACAATGATGTGGATGCGGTTCTCGCCCTCTGCGACCAGAAGATCAATACAATCGCAGGAAAATTGCGCAAGTTGTTACAGGAGAGACCAGATGCAGGAACATCAATCCGACAACTGCTCGTGACGTCTCTTAGGGTATCCATGCTGGAAAGAGATGTGGTTGATACCAAGCAAAAGCGGACTGTTGAGAATGCAAACAAGAGACAGGCAGATCTGGAGCAAACTAACTACCAGAAATTGTTAGACTTCCTGAAAGAAGTTAAGAGTCTACCAAGCCTAGCGAAGCAACAAGAAGATGCAGAGGAGAGGGCCAAGAATGCAGCAGAAAAGTACTCCAGCGCTGAGCGTGATTACGCATCAGAGAAAAACAGAATCTCGAAATATCGATCGAACCGCCAATTGTCTTATGAGATGGACGATCTGGTAAGGGCCTTGCAGCATAGGAGGTCGGCACGGAAGCTTCAAAAGTCTATCAGCCGTGCGCGAGATATTTTTCAGAACAGACCCTTCTCCGAGACAGGTAGACGATATATCTGGCTGGATAACTGCTGTATTAACAAGCGACAGGACGCTGAATTGAGTGAGTCTTTAGCACGCATGGGGGAATGGTACGCAAACGCAGACTTTTGCCTGGTTCACCTGGATACTCCGTGGGACAACCGGGAATGGTTGGATGAATGGGATCTGTGGTGCAAAAGCAAAGGCAATAATGAAGAGGAGGAACCGGATCACACCGAGGATAGCGACGTGGTCAGTGCAGCTATGAAGAGAACTCCTAGATGCCAGCCTGTTTCGCGGTTTAGCGAAGTAAAAGAGTGGAAGCCAACATGGGCTACCAGAGGCTGGACACTGCAGGAATTGGTCCTCAGCAAAATGACGTTCTATGCCAATGCAGACTGGAAGATGCTGTCGCGACCGGTTGACAGTTTAGGAAACTACTATCACTTTTGCCCTTTCATTGAATTTTACACCAAGAATCTCAATTACATCGATGGCGAGGCACTGAAACTTGTCGACCATGTACTGGAAGTGATAACGGCCGCAGAGGAAAATGGGATGATTGAAAATACCAAGATCAGTTTAGTCGCACCGGGTGAGGCTGAAGAGGTAAGTTAAGCATCCGGTGTGAAATACTATTGTCTGACTGCGATATAGACTATTGGCGCAGAGAGCATAATCCGGGCTCTGAGGCTATTTGGATATGTCGCGCCCAAGAACTTGGATAAGCAAACAGCGAGAGCTCGTATCGGCTACTCTGTCCAACTCGTCGTTGAAGCATTCAAGGACAAGCCAAGCTACACAGACCCGGAACATGACATTAGAGAACAGATCTTGGAAGATATATCTGAGCACTATAATGGGCTGGAACGGGAGAAGGCAGTGAGGCGAACAATAAGCCTGCTGCTTGTAGCCCTCGCACACAAGGCAACCAAACCCATCAGGATTGATCGTAAAACAATCGCCGAGTTCAGCAACGTCGAAGGCCTGAGCAGCTGGTGGGATGGCACGGAGAGGAGCCGTTTCTCTGCTCACAGTGTCATGATGCTGGCATCGCATCGACAGTGCACTAAGGCTATTGATAAGGCGTACTCGTTGATGGGTGTCCTTGGAGTGCAGTTCCCAGCGTTCCCAGCCGAGGGCCTTACCAAGGCCCTGTCTCGGCTAATGGATGAGGTGGTGGTCACCTCCAACGATGTGTCTGTCTTCAACTGGACTGGCAAGTACAATGGTAGCCCTATACGCGGCCGGTCTTTGTACGCGTCGAACATTGACGCCTTCTACACCGAATCACGTTTCGATGTAAACGGCGAACTCGTCCGAATTTTCCGAAATGATCGTACAAAAACCCTGACTATCGCAAAAGGTATTACTGACATGCTGCTCGATGCCAGCAACTTCGTCTCAACATTCAAGCAGACCGAAGAAACGGTCAGTTTACTTCTAGAGATGGTCAAATTCATCAGGGAAAATGATAGCCAAAAACTGGAAAGCCTTCTAGATTTCCCAGAGCTCGTCAAGACACTGGCAAATGCTGGCGATTATGCGCGGAAAACAAGTTCGGAAGAAGACGCGAAACAGGACGAGAATGTGCAAAAGTCCGACACGCCCGTGACTCCCCAGACCCCCCAAACACCTGGAACTCCGGGGATCGGAAGGAAGAGGTCATGGGGCGTTAAGCTACCGAACCTTCACAAGGGGATTCCTTTCACGGGGGATAAAGCAGCTGAGAAAGAGAAGTCAGCAGAGAACGCCAAGAAGGCAGAACAACTCGAAGCTGAGATCAAGCGTGTTGTTGACAGGGCCCTTAAAAGTGATCCCGCGCGCAGAGATAACAAAACGTCAGCTGGAAACGAGAAACCCCCCAGCGAAAGCAATGAATCTGGAGCGCAGGCCATTAGGATCAGCAAGTGTGACGAGCAGATCATCTGCCCGAACCCCATAGTCGTGAACAGCTCTGGAATCAAGGGCGTGTTTGACATTCAGCGCATTGTGGCCAATATGCTGCAGCCTGAAGAGCTTCGTGCGAAAGTCAAAAATGCCGCAAGTGACAAAGAGATGATTGATGGGTGGTGTACTATAAGTACTGGGTTTACTCTCACAATGGTAGCATTCTGCTGTGAGCGAAAGGTCCTTGAAAAGCAACTGGACTTGGTCGAAGTGATCGAGCAAACCATCCTCAAAGAAGCCGCCCCAGCCAACACGAATACACCCGCACAGGGGGTTGACACAGATGCAGATGCACAGCCAACGAACCCAGAGAGCCAGCAAGACAAACAAACCAATGGTGAGGGTCCAGCACCGGATCCTGCTTCTTCCCAAGAAATAGACAACGTAAGCCGTGACAGTCGGCCCAAGCTCAAGAACTACGGCTCTTCGGCAGAGCAGAGACGAGTTTCTCGCATGATTGACTTCGTCACAGAACCCAACCTTCACGCCATAGCTGGAGAATGGGTTCTGGCACGGTTCTCCGGCACACCAGGGGCGCAATGGTTCCTCTGTCGATTGGAACTGGGAACAGGCAATGAGTTCTACGCCCGCCGAATCGCCACGGACAAGTTCATATTCTCCAATGCCGTTCCCGAGAAAGGCTTGGTCGAGTTTTGGCACAACTTCATGCACAAGAAGAAGCTAGTGATGTGCGATATGCTTGACCATTACCTCGATGCGCAGAAGGCAGGGACGTACGCAACTTGGTTCCACGAAAACCTCAAGGAGAGCTTCTCCTGGGGTGATTCTAGTGATGACGAAGATGAGCCCCAGCAGAGCAAACAAGCGAAGGCAAAACAGCCAGCTCCGGATGGTAGTACCACCTTGACATCAACCGCCAAGACATTGAAGATGATTGGCTGGGGGATCCGATTCTTCTACGATAAGTACTATGCTGAATACTTGGAAGACCGTCTTACTGAGATGGCCTTGGCCAAGATACCGGTGAATCTCCACGCTGCGATCAAGGACCTGCACGCGGACAAGGTCCTTCTGCCGGTGATGTTTCACTCTGGGAGGGATGTGCATTTCTTCTAGATAGTGATTGACAAGTGCTGGTTCCTTTGAGAATAGCAGGTTGGATGTAGTGTGGCTCCGCCAAAATATTGATATTTATCTACTTATGGGCAACTGCCTATCTGCAAGCCGTAGTTGACGGCAAATTACCATGTCCAATATGACTTCTTCCACAACTTCACAAATTCCAACTTTTGCGGCGCCGTCACGGCTACACGTCTGGCTCTGCCAAGGCGAGCCAGCGAATCCCCTACATAGTTCGGCACCTGCTCTTCGAGCACCATCACGGAGGTCTCACTGAAGGGCCGTTCATCGTCTCGGTCATGAGAGTATCCATTCTCCGAAGCACTAGGATCAAACATGGTAGCGTCATGCGTTGGCAATTCATCCGCAGCGACACCCACGACTGCCTGTCCAATGCGCACCTTAATGTAATGCGTCGGTCGGCCCAGCAGACTCCACAGGAAAGTAATATAAGACCCGGGGACCGGAGTCACGACGTCTTTAGGCTCATAGCGCAGAGCCACAGGGAAGATCTTCGTCTTGTGAGGAGCGCTCGCCAGCACGGGGCTCAGCGGCAACACGCCCTGTCCGTTGGTGGTCGTGCACTCAGGGAACAAGGCAATAGGGCGGCCAGGGTACTTCCGCATGATGGTTTTCAGATCGACGGTACGGGCTTTGGGCTGGGGCTTTGCTTGCGGGAGGGCGAAGGCGCGAAGAATTGCTTGCCAGACGGATAGTTGTTCGACTTCGCGTGTGGAGGGATAGCAGGACACGAAGATGGGGTCAAATACAGCGGCAAGGTAGAGCGCGTCAATTGGGGAGGTGAAGGAGGAGGCAATGATGGATCCGGGCCCGGGTAGACGGTTTTGGTGTCGGTCGTTGTTGAGAGTTCTAGAAATCGAGCAGCTCAGTAGGTGGTCCTAGGAGAATAGCATAACATTTGCAGAAAGGAGAGCAACTGACCCTTTTCTTACTCCGTCCACTTGAAGATCAACCCACCAGATGCTGGGCACGCCTAGGATGCACCACAGAGCGGCCTTCCTTCCAAGCGATGTGATCGGGAGCCATTGGAAAAGCAGAAAATAGCCGATGCAGACCGGTATAAAGAACGGAAGACGGACGCAGAAGAGGAAGATTCGTAGAAACCACTGAGGGAAGCTGAGCGATGGACGAGGAGTTGGGAAGAAGGGTGAGACACCCGTTCCTACACAGCGCACCATCGTCAGTAATGGAAAGCGGGCTCAATGACTATTAAAGGGGTCTGCACACGCACCTCGATCGCGAAATTGGGTAAATCTCTCCATGACAAGGGGCTATTTGGTGACGACGAGATAAGAGGGATCAGTGAAATTGCAGACTGGACATGACCAGACTTTGACAGCAGACTGCCGTAAGCTTGCGAAGCAAGACGTGGGGTGTAAGTTGTCCGGTCAGCGCGGCAGGCGGGGGGAAAACCTGCTGAGCAAGTCGATAGTATATCTTATCAAAGAGAATATATGGCGGCCAACTCAAAACCGACTGGGGGGGTTGTTGGCGGCACCAGCAGAAAGGCGCAGTGATTTGTTGATTTCAGCACGAAGGAATGGGAATTGAGATGTTCACATGTCGAGCTGCTGCTGCAATGCCGCACTAGTCCTGCTTGGGTAATCACCTTCCCTGATTGGGAAACCGAGGCTGGAAGGTTGACTTACCGCCCATGTCTTATAGTTCTAGTAGTTAGTTAATCAGTAGTTCATCCCTCGCATCAAACAGACTTCAATCAAGCTCCTTTCTCTTTCTCAACCTTACTATTTACATGAAGTGAAAAGCCTTATACTCTACATATGTACATTGCCTAGTTCTCGCCAGTTCAAAAGACCACGTTCTCTTCCTCTATCTTGTCATCCGACTGACGAGAAGGAATCCGGAACATCCAGATAGCGACGCCTACCAAAGTGAAGGCCGTCGCGGTCATCATCCAGGCCAGACCGATCCAAGCCCCTCCCAGTTCCAGTCCAATTTGGAACACTGTGGTGATGGACAAACTGGCAATGACATTGCCCACTGACTGCAGAACCTCAATAATGGTGAAGAGACGGGCTGTTTCTTCCCGATTCACCAACGTGGTAATGAGAGCACGAGTCAGGAAGACAAATCCAGACCCGGATGTCTGAACTAGCAGACTGGGAATCAACATCGCCACGCTCGGTGAAAGACCGATTCCCAACGTCCCGACCGCCAAGAGCCCAATACTGATGCGCATGAGCTGCAGGTCTTTCTGGGTTGGCTTCATGGTTTTGAGAAGTTGTCGTGAAATAGCCGGTAGGATAAATAGGAACAATGGAATGGTCAAGGCCGGCTTGAATGACATGAGGAAGTTCGCTTCTGCCAGGGTCCACTTATACCGCGTGGAGATATATTGGACCAAAAACCAGGACGAGCCACGGCTCAGTCGATAGACAAGAAACGCGGTAAGGAGGAGCATGATCTGCTTGTTTCTGAAGATGAAGGAATACGGCGCGAAATAGGCTCGCGACCGTTGTTTCGCCGACGCGAAGAAAGTTGGTCGTGCTGCTTTCGTGGTGAAAGAAGCCTCTTCCCCTTGGAGGGTCTCTTCATCGCTGAGTACCTCGTGTTCTTGTTCCTTGCTGGGAACTTCCTTATACTCGGCGTTTCCGGGTGACACTTGGCTCATCTCCATGCTCGGCTGCTTCCAAGTCGGTTGCGATGACCCTACACGCATCGTTTCCGGTAATGATAAGGCGAAGAACATGCCAACAACAGCCAAACCCCAGCCCAGCAACAGAGGAAGCCATGGGTCTAATGCCATTAACCAGGAACTGGCGGCACTGGAGGCGAAATCGGCTCCCATGCTAGCCACGCCGAACCTGAAGAATATCGCCGCTCTAATAAACATTAGCTATGGTTCCACCACGTGTCGTGGCATTTAAAACATGCATACCTTTCTTCTTCTGTTGACACATCCGACATCATTGTCCAGATGATGGCAAATGCCACAACAGGGCCTCCGCCAAACAACCAAGCCAAGGAGGATGCCCAGACAGTTCGCAGGGGGAAGACGTCTGGGCGCCACATGACCACCAGTTGAATAATGCAGTTCAGGGCGAATCCGGGGATGCTTAGACAGATGGTGGATTTCCGTCCCCGTCGATCAGCCAACAGGCCGTATGGAATTGCTAGCACAGCACCTGGATGAGAAATAATGTGAATAAGGGTCCTCGTCTATATGTCGCGCATAAAGTGCAAAAGGGAGGCGCCCAATCGGTAGAGACTAGGGAACAAGAGATGCGACATAGCCTCGTCCGAACCGGCGGTGCCTTCGTCGTGACCTACTCAGAATGCCATCGAAGAACTCCATATAGCCCTTCACTGCAGCCAGATCCTGCTGGACCGCTTTAACCTTGCACAATTCCTCCTGGACCTCGCCGTCGGCTCCGATCTTGGTGGGATCATATTGCGCGTAGTATTCTCGACAGGCGATGGACTCGTATATACGGGTGACGGGGCCATTGGACATGCAGATGCCGACTTCGACGGCCAAGATCATGGCAAAAAGGGTTAACATTAAGCGAAGGCGAGTTTTGCGAAGTTGTTCTTTCTCTGCATCCGACGGGCCAGACTCCTCTTCCACTGGGGACGAGGGCCTTTGACCCGAGGCGAGGAACGGGGCATCCTCGCGATCGAGGGGTTCATTGGACTCAAGAGGCATGGTTCCGAATGACCATTGCCAGTCGAGTGAGAGAAGTGGGAGGAAGGGAATATACGACGGGATTACATATGGGCGCAAGAACGCGATCAAATACGAGCATTAAGCGGTGAACCTCTCAGCCTAGCCACAAAACCCCGATAAGGGAAGAGGGGAAAGGAAATTGAGATGAAACCGGGAAGGGGAGGAAGAGATGCGCCATATAAGACTGCCGGGGGGCCCGCCCAGAAAGATTAAAAATGGCAGCATAGGGGAGACTGTCGTTGGCCTCGAATTGGGGGGGCGCGCGGCGGGCTTAGCAGTTGCAGGGTGACTCCACACTATATGATTAGTGAGACTAGTCCACGGGGCCAAGTCGGTTTCTCCTATTTCGAGACAATCTGTCAGACCCTGGGACGTGGCAAGTGTGAGAGAAGAAAAGGGACTAATCGATAGCCAAACAGTCTTTGGCTTCGTATCCTCAAGAATTTTGCGTGTCCACTTTTGAGTCTGGGTCCCGCGGGCATCCGGCATCTGCCTACTCATGAACCATAAACATTCTTACGATGGACAGGCAACAACAAACTGAAGCAACTGGACAGATTACTACTATCTATTTTATACGATTCGAGGACACACAGACACCCCAGCAGCTGTCGTCAGCCTCCACTCCCGCTGCAGTTGCAACTAGTCACTGACTGCCATTTGTCCAGACAGTTCAATCTATTACTAGTACCATAAGTCTACCTAGGGCTTACAAAACCGTGTAGGATTGAAAAGGCCAACCACTCACTTTTCCTGCTGATCGGGCCACATCATTCTATTGGTCTTCTCAAAACCACATCCTTCAGCCTGAAGCCAATCAGGGGGGTTTGTGCTGGACGGGCGCGCCGTCCGTCATCAGCGGGGGAGAAGAAGAAAACGAACAAAAAACATTGGTTCTCTTCAGGGGTTTCTCGGCTTCTCTTCCTGGAAGCGAAAGCCACCGATCCGCCCGCCATCCGATCATCCGCGCTCATTATTTCAACCTCTATAAGATTGCTACTACATATTAAGATGTAGCGATCGAGAATAGTTACGACTAGTATAGTCACTTCTGACCGACTCTTCACCTGCACGACCAATTTCCTTTTCCTAGTGATAATCAACCCTGACAGACAGAATATTGGACATGATCATGTCGGTTATTAAGTAGTTGTAATTGCTTACTGCATGATACTTCCCTCCCCACCCCTTCCCCCCAGGAGTATGATCAGTCGTAGCCTTCTTTCCAGATCGGCAATAATACTCGCTTAATGTACATACAGCAGGTGAGCAGGTAGTTCACTCAGATTTCACTACCTAAAGAGCCAGTAAATCCGATAATACTGTAGACTACGTGGAAATGATCATGGGTGATATCATAAATTGCCTACCATGTTGATTGATTACTGTATGTTCAGCTATTTATTTGTCTGTGGCACTGGTGAGTCTCCTTTTCTTTCTTCTATACCCGTGGTACTTATTATTGACTAGTTAAGTAGTCCGCAATAATAATAATGAAAAAAGCGATGGACCTTTTCGAAAGAGTATAGTATAGTATGGTATAGCATCTAGAAACCTGACACAGTTGGTAGTATGAATAATCGTGAACATTAAAAGGAAACGAACAGACAGTAATAGTGATCATCGGGCCGGAAGATCCAAGTGAACGTCGGCTCATGCTAGATAAGTTAACAAGACTAAGTAAGTAGGTAAGGTAAGCAGTTCTTGATGCTGTAATGCATGGTGTCTTCAACGACACAATATTCATCCATCCCCAAACCCAAGAATAATAAGAATTATATATGGTCGCAATGCGCCAGTAAACGAATGTTAGTAAAGAGATATAAGATGCAAGTCGCAAGTCCAAAACGAAAGAAAAAAAGAAAGGAGAAAGAATGGTAAGTAAGCAGGGTAAGAACGGAAGAAAAGAAGGGAAAAGAGAAGAATGTTATGTAATGGAGGGGAGAAAAAACCACTGAAAAGAGACCAGCTCTATGGCACTTCCTTATCCCCCCTCTTTAGTTCGCCGGGTATGTCGATCGCCTCCTTAACCCACGACATCGACGCGATCTCATCCAGACTTTCTCGTTTCGTATTGCGTTTCAATAGCCCCTCGACACAATCGCGGGCGCCTTCGAGGTCCTTGCCTTTTTCAGGATCCCATTCGTCGTCGCTGTCGGCATATCGGTACCAGGACCACTCGACTCGTGCGATGCGGTGGGGCGTTCGCGCGCGGAGTTTGGCAGGGTCGCCTCGGGTGCCCGGCAATGCGTCGAACGGGAGCCGATTTTCCATCATGGCGTATAACAACACTCCCAAAGCCCACGCGTCTGTTGATCGTCCATCATACGGCTGTCCCATCAAGATCTCAGGGGCTGCGTAGTCCTCACTGCCACAACGGGTCTGAAGCAGAGGGCTTTCGGGAGGCTCGGGTATTCGTCGGGACAGACCCAGATCGCTGAGGGTGATGACGGCTCGATCGTATGTGCGCCAATCCGTGATCGTCTCTATTGCTTGCATCGGCAGGTTGACAAGCACGTCTGAAGAGGAACAGCTGTCAGCCCTGATCGCTGAAAACGGGGCAAAGAATCGAAGGATACTCACTCTCAAGTTTAATGTCGCGGTGCACAATGAAATTTGCATGCAGGTAGCGCACAGCCCCCACCAATTCGGCAAAAATACGACGAATGAGTTGCGGACTCATGGGCCGTGGACTCGACGATGCCACGTCAAAGAGGTCACCTCCGGGACAGTAGTCGAGAACCAATAGCGCGCGCTTCTCGTCGCTACCAAATGCTTTCAATTGCACCAGCGACGGATGATTGACAGATTTGAGTATGTCTACCTCGCGCTTGAGGGAAACTTCCAAGCGCTCCTCATCTGCACCACCGGCCGGTCCATACTCGATAATCTTGACTGCAACAAGCTTCTGTGTTACCAAATTCACATCTTGAAGACTGGAAAACATGGTTTCGTTGTCGCTTTCTCGTCTTTCTATACGTGCCGCGAGGGAGACTTGACTGAATGTTCCCTGACCTAGCTGACGTATCTTGCGGTACTTGCGACGTTGTTGTGTGCGCACGGAGCGTACCGAGTATATCCCATCAGGGCCAGCTGCCAACGGTGTTACAACGGGTTCGTCATCGCGTTCATCGGAGCCACTGCGACTGCTGCGAGGAGGCGTAGGAGGGCGGACAGTGGGCAACGCGATCCCACGGTGGACGGCCAGATACTCTTCGCGATGAAGATTATTGCTGTTGTTGTTCGTCTTCGAGTCGGTGCTGACAGATGCAGTGATTCCCGGGGGCATTCCTGGTCCTGAAACTGCAATTGGCCGTGGCTTGACCGGGATAGCGCGACCGGGAGGTACATACTCGCTTAAGCTGCGGTTGCGAGAATGCTTTGACCCGGATCCTTGACGTGGTTTTGTTGGAGACTCGATGGGCGTCTCAATGGGTGTTTCGGACAGCTTGTCAGGGAGCATGTATTGCCTGCTTCGTGGCCGGGATTCGCAAGCACCGAGCATTTGAGAGGAATCGCTTAGTCGCAAACCGAGACTGGAACCGCTGCGAGAGGTTGTCGAGGGCGTCCGAGACAAAGACTGGGAATTGCGCCGTGGTAGTTTCCATGGCGACATGCCACTGATGGGCGATGGCAAAGGCGTGATGTCTCCCATGGCCATGAGTTGAGGGGAAGATATGAGCGAGGCCGGTGACAGAGTCAAAGATCCTGCGCTGGTTGGAGGGCCGGCGAACAGACCGCGCAGGCTTGGAGTGCGCCGGGGGAGACTGCTGGACGAGATGCTGTGATGCACGAATGACTCAGGTTCCCTTGGCGGGCTCATCTGGCTGGCGTTTGACAGATCCGTGCGAATCTGAAGCGAAGGCAGATGATGGGGGTGTGAGTAGTGCTGCAGCGTTACATCCTGCAGTCCCTCTGCAGGAGATTTTTCGATATAAAGCGGAGGAGTATGAAAACTCCCTTGACCGGGGACTATAGCAGAGGGTGCACCAATTTCATTGTCATCCGAAGCCGTTGGGTGGTTGGCTTCGTGTAACTGTGGTTGGTGAACGGTAGATCCTGACCTATCGGTCGGTTGGGCCGAATCCGAATGGACCATCGAACGGAAAGAACAGGGCAGCTGATGGATTGAGTGTTCCTATCCTGGCTGTATTAATTTTTTATTTGAGTATATGTTCCCCTGATTGTTTGTCCTTTTTTCTTCTTGTCTTTTTCCCTTTGTTGCAGCTGACAAAAGGCCCGTGAAAGAGGCGGCGCGGGTAATATGGTGGACTGGGAGCGGGCAAGTTCGGGGTCTAGATGCGAATCCCTCGGGTCAACCTAAAGTAAACCGCGTGGCACTTGGCGCTGAAAGAGGCCCTGGGGGCCAAAAAGAAGAACGGGTAGGATGGAGATGTGTTGTATCAGTGCATTAGCAGGAAAGGGGTCCTTATATGGTTGAGGGAAGGACCAGAATAAATCGCAGTAGGTTCAAAGGAATGAAAGGTAAGAAAATTAAAAGAGGGAGAGAGAGGGAAAGAAGAAGAGGAGAGGAGAGAGAAGAGAAAAGGCAGGGAAGAGGGAACGGACGGCGGGGAACACCGAAGAGATGATCCCAGAACCTCAGACCTTCTTAAGCAGGCGAAGGGAAAGCCAATCTGAAAAGCAGATCCAGCAAAGAACTTGACTTGAGTAAGTAGCTTCGGCGCGCTGATGACGCTGGCGAACGAACGAACGAACGAAAAATCCAGGCGGGGTCAGCTGATAAACCGGCCGCTTCGAGATTAGCCGCCACGAGGAAAAGGCGCTACCCCGCATTAAGTAATACCGTTGGCGGAAGGACCAGAAGAGGACCGGATCTTGCCTGCTTTGGGGTTAGCTTGTCATGGCCTCGGCCCTATCGCAGTCGTCGCTGTATTGTCCACTGATACGGGACGCGCCACCCAAACTTGATATTAATACTATCTCAATCCTGGCAAAACCACTGCGTAAGCTGAACTAGACTTATAATTTGATAAAAAATTGAAGGGCGGATAGTGTTCCCCCCTAATTGTAGTTTATTAAACTGTGATAAATCTTATCGCTACTTATGAGTAGGAGGAATCTCCTTCTTTTGGAATTTTCCATGCCCGGTACCACCAATAAGTTCCTTGCAGGGTGCAATCTGCATTGTTGGTGAAAACGGGGGCTGACGATCTGCCATTGCGAACCTTGCGCCTCTCTTTCCCACGCTTTTACTCTTTTCCCTCTGCTTTCTCCCCTTAACAGCCACCAGCCATCGCTTTCTAACCCAGAATGTGCCAATCGTGGTTGCCCAATGAGGCAGGGTTGAGGCACCACGACTTCCCAAAAAGAAATGTTCGTCGCAGAATGCGGGAGGTGTCGCGACAATCATCGGATCGTGGAATTACCTGTCACACCAACTTGTGGCGATCGTAGCTGATCGCGATATAACTCCACGGCCGAAGCGGAACCTCTAATATTTACTTGGTTACTTAGCGAGTTCAGGGAGATATTCCCATTCCCACTTACTGCCCAGCCAAGGCGTATGGTTCGTCCGCTCCCTCCACCTCACAGGATCTATCCATTCGGCCTCCGAACGCCTTTGTACAGAGAAATACCACATACTTCGTACAATGGCCAGTATACTTCGCTTTTATTTTACTTCTTCAACACTAGTCCTAGTTCTGGACGTCGAATATACCCTCGCAAAGTACGTACTCCTATTGTTGACCCAGAGAGGTCTGGATGCGCCGGTGTTTGAAATCCCAAACCTGGTTGAGTTTCCCACCAAAATTCCCATAATAGCAACAGAAACTCCATTTAGGGAGCAATTCTGGTTCCAACGCAATTAGGGCCATCAGCTTAATCTCGTTAATTTCCTATCTGCTCGCGATCATTTGACGCACTGTGCACATCGCCGACCACGCTACTGTAGCGCGTGCACTAGCTCGTCTGGCGTCCCTTCCATCGAAATTGGGCCGTATCCATTCTTCTGCTGCCAATCTTTGGTTGGCCTCCTCTTTTGCTTCCCATTTCAAGGTTTGAGGTGAACGGATCGACGCGCTGTGCCACCCAACCTACGTAAGCTATCCGAATTTCATCATTCCTCAGGTTTTGGTCGAATTTGTTTCGGATGTGGAACATGGAAACAGCCACTGATGGGCTAAGAAAACGCACCGACAACTGCCAAGTCCCCCCGAACCAGGCGCTCAGCTGTCATGACTGACTCAGGACGAACGGCGGACTTGGTCTTCGCCAAATCCACAAGCCTGTCAGAAGATTTCCCGGTCCTCGGGCTTCTCTCGTCAATCTTTTTCGCGCCCTCGAGTCTTGGCACCCCACGCCTTGCTGCGCTTCATTGACCCGATTGCTGACTACGGGCTGCTCACGCAGTACTCCGTCAAGTTTCCGGACATGGAATTATCCCCTTCACCTTTCATCCTGGTATAATAATAGGCGATGCTATTTGATGTTATCATTCCACCCCTGTCTTTGTCCGGGTCGGCTTGGTGATTGCGACCGGGTCAACTCCGAACCCGTCCGGCGAGGGTCCCGGCCACTCAACTGTTTTGACGGTGGCTCGGATCCGTGAGCGACCAGCACCGCCCATGCGGCATGTCAGCGTTTGCGCCTTCTGGCAATTGTTGGCGACCGTCTCAATGGAATGCTTTGTTCTCGACTAAAACATTGGTTGGGGAGGATTTCCAAACTACTTCTACCCAACACAGTCCATCTTTATCTCCGGTTCCATGCAGATTAATATTTGTTGGCGCCCTCGATGTCTCAAGTATGTGCGCTGCAGCCGCCGACCTGCGAGACCCGGGATTCATGCACGGTGTGGCACCAGGGCAACCTGCTCCCTGTGCTATTGCATGCAGGCGCCACCCATGCTCGCTTTCCAGATGCATGATTATTTGCGTTCCCTGGTCGGACGCATACAGTTGGGACTTTTGTCCTTGCTGTCGCTGGGGACAAACTTTCCCAACCACTAATGTGCTTCGAAAGGTTACCATTCAGTATAGTTTATCTATCATAACTAGATCGATCATAGTCCGTAACCACTGTCCATCATAACCATATGTTTGGGCGTTGTATCATCGTTTCCATCAGACTGTCCGGCCTGCCAGCTAATACACAGCTGGTCCAGAGCGGTTGAGAGCCCCAATGGCCTGCTCGATACTGATTACATTGACCGGCAGTTCGGGAAGTATGCCCTCTAAGATAACCTTCTGATTCAGGGCAGCATATGACGAAGGGGTCTCGATCGTATTGTTCGAGATAACGTAGCTGTTGTCAAGCACGATGCGTTAGCAGTGCCTTTTCCACATGCATGATCGGTATTGAACCGTGGTGCTGGCTTACACATTATAGTTCATATCCAACAGACGAAACGCAGTGCTAAGCACTACTCCCGAAGTACGGATCCCGGACTACCAGTTACATATTGATCAGCAAATCTGTTGACTTGACTTCCACTCCGTTGCATGGCATCACCTACCAAAATCACAGTATCTATCTTCTGAGAACTGAGGATCTCCTCCAGCTGATTCCCCGCACCAGCATAATACCGCGCCTTCTGCAGCACCACATCATAGTTATCCAGGGTCTTGAATGCCGAATAGATCTGACTATCGGGACTCGAAGCTGTGGCGTTGCCGAGGCTAGTCACCGCGCTGGCGAAGGGAGCGTTGCCGAGTTCAGGGCGGTAGGTGTTGGAGAAGAAGATGCGAGTAAAGATACTCAGGGGGGGAGGGTCCTGCTTGTGCACACTTTACAACATAAGTACTCCGTATAATGTATCCGCAGTTCTCCAAGATCAAATAATACATACGCATCAATCCAGTTCGCGACATTATCAATCCACAACTGCCCGGACCTGGTAGTATTCACATTGGCCACCAACCCATCGATAAGATCTAGATTAAGCACTGCATAATGTTTCCCGAAACTAAACGACGGATCGATAACGGTCGAGGTGATATTCCGTGAATAGCCTGGCCTGCTAGTGGTTGTGGTCGAGAAACACCCGGTTGCCAGGAGAGCCAGGCATGCAAGCGAGTATTTGAACATGGTTGGTGTGCTGCAGGGGGAAGCACTAAACAGCAAAAAGAAGAAAAAAAATCAAAATTAAAGGTAGGGATGCAACGGATGGGATAGACTCGCTGATCTGAAAGTGAAATGTTGCTCTAACTTGAAGCAGGGGTCTTTTATGTACATTACGGAGTAGAAATTGTCCATTTCTTCCATACTAGACTAATCAATGTGATTCTTTCCTCCACCTCATCAGATGGGACTATTGCCTCTAGTTGATCGTTGCTTTTTTATGATATTAGGTCTGCGATCGGCTAGTGAAGCTAGTCATTACTTGTGATCAGTTGAACTGAGGATTAACGTCACACCGGAGATGACGACTTGATCGGGTTATGGTCAGACTGATTATTCATAAATGATGCTTTGGTTTAGGTGGGTAGAAGAGTGATTACTGGTCCGGATGACGGGAAGATCATAAGTAGTAGTCTTGTCTTGATGAAGAATCCATTGGCAAGGGCGCACTTGTGCAGGTAACTAACTAAGTAACTGACTACCTCATTGGGGTGATTGTTTGTTTTCCAAGGGGGCTTTTCCCGGAATGGAGCTGATCTTCTGCTGTTGATCTCCCCCATGTGGGGACCCTAAAGCTTAAGCCTGGGTTGAGTTGTGTTTGCCCTGAAGTCGATGCTATTTACTGCATTCCCGTTGGGTTTATTTTCATACGGAGTATTTCTGTGGAATTCATCTTCTTTTACCTTGAGGTAGAGTAGATTAGAAGATGTGGTGAGTTTGGTCAACATGATGGTGCGTCATTCGTGCATCCTAATTGAGACAGTTGGCTGATTCGGTCCCTATCTGAGTCCTGCATCGAATCTCAAATCAACGATCGATTTGAATGGACAGTCAGATGTTGAGTAACCTTGAGGTGGGAGGTTCGGGCCTTCTGGAATGCCTTGCGCAACATGCTTGTGCTTTGTATTGCTACGTGCAGGAGCAGGACTCCCCTTTACCCATTATTTCTCTTTCTGCGAATTACTAGCCAGTTGTCTTTGACTCGTGCTTATCATTCAAATTCCGGTTTTGATATTTGATTGAACAATCAAGTTGAAACTGCAGGGCAAGCAATCGCCCTGTGGGAGGTGTGGAGATGGACAGCCCTGAATAGTCTTTACCCGGGCTCTCCACAACAACACCACCGTCCAGAATTCTTTACCGGCTGACCCGCTCTCCCACTCACCACCTATCTATAGATGGGCCTATTTAAAGATTTTCAAGAGAACGAAACTCCCCAGCGATGGCTGTGTCGTCTCTCTTCCACGGGTGACAATTATAGCAGGCAACTTTGGCGATGCCAGCGGAGATTTAGAGATTTCTTGGCTATCTGTCGCGAACCGTTAAGCGACGCCACCGGACTGCGAATAGATCGCAAGACTATACGGGCGATCTCACAACTCCAGGGAAAAGTTATATCCTCACTCTTTGACTGGACACCCATAAGCCTATCTGCCAAGGCTGGCATCCGAAATTTTCATTCCTCTTCGCCTCCCTCCCGTTGGGACGAACCGCTCGTTTCCGACTAGTGAGTTATGGATGATGACTCGGTACGGAGTGCGTTGTACCTGCTTGCTGCCTGGCCATGCATGCATCATGTACTTTGATGTATCGCCTTTCTCCGATTGTGACATGATGCTCATCACTGCAGTTGATGCATAGTCTGACACCATATGGAAGTCACAACGAGTAGCCCAATCATTCGCTTAACATGCAGCTGCAATATAATACACAAGCAATATAGACCAGGGCAAGGGACCGCTCTGGATGCAACATGGAAGTGACTTCATCCCCAGTGCCCCCATAACGCCCCATCCTGCTCCCTCCAGAGTGGACAGGGTCAATGGCCTCCACTTTGTCTCACTCCGTTGTGCTTCTGATTCGGTATATCCTCTACAATGCCAAGCAGAGCCAAGTATATCGCAGTATCATGCTATCTACTGCACGCGTCATCTAGTAGCCATAGTCTATGTCGTTTAGAATAAGAGATCAAAAAAAGAAAAAAGAAGTCAGCTATTCATAGTCTCACTTCGTAGTTCTACACATGTACCCTTAATCATAGTCCAGCCATCTGCACTTCGCCATCCGGTAGCGCTGACCCTCAGGGATGCAACGCAGCCCGTAGGGCTCGATCCGGTCTAGTGAGGGCCCATAATTAGAAGAAAGGACATGGGACTGAGGGAGGCTGAGGGTCTCTAGTGGAGATAGATAGACAGAGGGATCAGGGGCGAGCCGTAGCGGTGAACCTACAGCCATGTCTGTAACCAACCAACCCATGGCTAGCTAGCCCTTTCCGGGTCGCTTCTAAGTTAGGTACCAGGCACTGACATTAAAAGAAGACCCATAGGTAGTATTCCTGTAGTACCGAACAGTTATAAGTAGTGAGTGACCTGACCCTTTGTGGCTTCTATTTCTCCATACTCTATCCATTCCGTGGCTCAGATCCATACAAAAAAACTATCTACCATTCTCACACTCGTTCTTCAACCTTAATAAATTTGTCTTCAACCCACATCCATCCTCACCAAATCCACTCACTAATACCACCACCACCATGTCCGTGACAACCACCTCGACCGGCACCGCTGCCTCCGCCTCCTCCACCTGCATCAACAAGCTCTACGACATCCCCGTCAAAGATGCCGCCTGCGCCATGCCCATGCGCAACAACAACTCCGCCATCATGAGCAGCTGCTGTGGCTCCGCCTCCATCGTCTCCTACGACAGCTGCGACTACTACTGTCTGGCTCAGGACCAGACCGTCGGTACCCTGGCCGAATGTCTCATCAAGGCCTCCGAGGCCGGTGAGGTCTGGTGTAACACTAACGCCAACGCTACTGCTACCGGTAGCGTTCCTACTACTGGCGCTGGCACTGTCGTCTCGACTGCTACTGCTACTGGTGGCTCGTCTAGCACTGGGTCCAGCACTTCGAGCGGTTCGTCGGCTTCTTCGACTAGTGGGGCTGGTGTCGCGGTTACGAAGAAGAGTGTGGGTGTGTTGGCGCTGTTGTTCTTTGGGTCGACTGCGGGTTTCTTGTTGTAAGAAGGACATCAATGGGATGGATAAAGGGGGTGGGATTGGAGGACTGGATGGATGTTGTTTTGTATAGAGCAGAGCAGGCTTGTACAGTAACTTGGGGAAAATATCGTGTTGATTGAACCAACTTGCTAGCGGAAGTCCGTCCTTCTTAGCATTACTTCGTTTCTTTTGTTTGTGTTACATATTACCATTGATGTTTTTTCTTCACTTCATATATTATCTTCTGTTGCAGTGCGCAATTTCCAATTTGGTTCATGATAGGCACTATATATATTTATTTGTATATACACGTCTACAGGAAACCCCCCTACTAGTGTATAAAGCTGCCACTGCCACTTGCACTATACCAATCGAAAAGAGGTACTACTAGTGTACTCAGGACCCCCCAAAGCCTATGTTATCTTGGAATTTAGGGATTGAGTTCCTGTAAGCTTTCAGATGTCTCTCTACAAAAATCATAGCGGAGTCACAGTTGACTCATACCTAACATGAACTAGTTACCAACCGATAGGTATGGAATATGGTCTGTATCACCTAGTTGAGGAACTGCCTCAGGCATATATATTACTCCGTCTACTTCATATCACGTGCATCCATCTGCAACAGACAACCCCTGGTCGGCACGCAGAAAAAATATTATCTCAGCTCTGGAGAGGTGATTCAAACAACACTTACCAAAGGCTAAGGATAAATATGTGAAATGTTCAGAGTTACCATCTCTTTTTGAAAGGAGAACACACAAATAACATTACGCCTAATGCAGCTTGTAGGATCTAACGATGACTCGTGGAAAAGCGACACATTATGAGTTATCAGTCAAGTATGCTTTTCACATAAGTGTGTATCTTCCCTTCCATTGAACAATGCAGCTACAAGTTGCGTTAAGCGTATACTAGCCTGTTACTGACGAGAGCATGCAGAAATCTGCTTCGAAGTTATCCTGAGTAACCCCAGTCGGTTATGTGTGTTACATTCCACAAAATGAGAGAGACTAGCTAATATACGTATCTGGTGTCACCATAGACTGTTTGTTCTTCACTTCTACTGCACGTTACGTTGCTTTATTCCGTTTTTAGATACTCATTAAGGTATATACTGGAGACTCGATGACTCGGGATTTCGGCACAATCTACGAGTCGATATGAGTTGCCGAGGTTTCATATCTCCGCATGGTGTCTGTCTGGTTGGAAAAGAAAGCAACACAATATACCGAGATTGGTGGATTCAGGATGTAGGATTACAGATCAACCCCGCACCAGATGGGACTAATGTGAGCTCGGGAAGGGGGTTTGCTGTTAATGAAGAATGTGACGCAAAAGAATGGCAATCAATCCCTACTACTATGTATTAAGTGACCGGTCCCTCACGGCAACAGAAAGAGTCGGAAAGGCCCGCAGATAACACATCATGAAGGACATCAAGATCGAGCCCGCAAAGGGCATTTCCTACTTTACTCCTGCACAACAAACCCCAGCAGGAACAGCAGCGAACCCACAGACCAGTGGGAAGGCAATACCAAAACTCTTCCAGCCGATCACCATCCGGGGATTAACATTTCAGAATCGTCTTGGGGTAATAAACCAACCACCACTAAGATAACGGCCCGTTGACAATGATTGCTCTAGGTATCCCCAATATGCCAGTACTCCGCCGAGGATGGACACATGACAGACTACCACCTCGCCCACCTGGGCGGTATAGCCCAGCGAGGCCCAGGCCTTATCATGATCGAGGCCACCGCTGTGCAACCGGAAGGTCGCATCTCACCGCAGGATGTCGGGCTGTGGAAAGACTCCCAAATCGCGCCAATAGCCCGAGTCATCGAGTTCGCGCATAGCCAAGGCCAGAAGATTGGTATCCAGCTTGCGCACGCGGGTCGTAAAGCGAGTACTACTGCACCTTGGATGATGAACCATGGCAATGTGGCAACAGAGAATGTCGGTGGATGGCCGCATAATGCCAAAGGACCTAGTGATGTACCGTTCAGCTAGACATTTCCGAAACCGCAAGCTATGAGCAAGGACGACATCCGCGAGTTCAAGGAAGCGTGGGCTGCCGCCGCGAAACGGGCCCTTGTGGCCGGAGCGGATTTCATTGAGATCCATAATGCGCATGGGTATCTGCTTGCATCGTTTTTGACCCCCTACGCGAACAAGCGGACGGATGAGTATAGTGGATCTTTTGAGAACCGGACGCGATTGCCGCTGGAGATTGCGCAGTTGACCCGCAATACGGTGGGTGAGCATGTACCTGTTTTCCTGCGCCTTTCGGCATCGGATTGGCTGGATAGTGATTTTGGAGAAACCTGGGGCTTGCAGGATGCAGTGAAGTTTGCTGAAGCGTTGGTCGCTCAAGGAGCTATTGATCTGATTGATGTCTCTTCCGGCGGTTTACATTCAAGTCAAAAAGTGAAAGCCGGGCCTGGGTTTCAGGCACCGTTTGGCATTGCGGTTAAGAAGGCGGTCGGGGAAAGGATTCTTCTTGCGACGGTTGGCCATATCAAAGATGGAAGGCTGGCAAATCGGTTGCTTGAAGAAGAAGGACTTGATGTCATTCTTGTTGGGCGTGGGTTTCAGAAAGATCCTGGATTGGTCTGGACCTTTGCGCAGCACCTTGATGTTGAGATTGCTATGCCGGGCCAGATCCGCTGGGGATTTTCCAAACGAGGAGCAGTCTATAAACCCTCACTATGATGGGAAAAGGTTAAGTATTTATTTTTGCAAGATACAGGATAAGAGAGACGACATACACAATGTTTTGATTAGCTACACCCGCTTCCCTCAGCATTGATGTTTTGCATTGATGAACTGCTGTAAATGTGGCATGACCATGTAGTTGGGATCCTGTGATATCTATGAATATAGAAAATCTTTATCTACTCGAGAACATGACGAGCTATCCTGGTATAGAACGCAAGAAACCCCAAGAACGATACGGCCATAGTACGTTCAAAAAGAAGATATACGGATATATCACCCTCTGAGTGGAGTCTTCAGCAAGTGAATCATACTCAGTCAAAGATCTTGTGCACTTTCCACTGGCCAACATTTGCGACCAGTTGGATCTTCTTGATAGCTTCGTCGTACACATTGTCATCACCGTTAAGTTCCAACTATCATCTATTAGTCAAGCTGAAGGCCAAAAAAGCTAGGAATGTACAGCTTACCAATGCCAAGTAGCGCGGCGGCTCTGCTGGTTTCCCGTTCGGGAACAACATAGCCCAGAAGACCTCATGAATGGCCACCCGCTGAGGCGCACCATTACTACTATATATCCCAGTGAACCAATCCATCACAGCCTGGTCATCGGCTTTGTCAATGTGTGAAGGCAAGTCAAACTCCACAGTAATGAGATGAGACGTTGGACCTAACACATCCAACATCACAGGAGTGAATCAACTTTTGCCCTTTCTCTTCTCTTGTCTTGTAAGTCTCACCTGCTGGCATATCCGAGTCTTCTCGTCTCCCGACCTCGCGGTATCGCCTGATATCGAAATGCGCTATATCCATACAACTGTTTGTTGGCCCCAGCAGAACATCACTGGTCACAGGGATGCTCGTGAACTCCCCAGTGTTCAGAAACTCGATATCTGGGACGGGGTAGAGAGCGAGGAATGTCCACGGGGAACTATCTTGCGGCACTGCAGCCGTTTCATAGCGGGCTGCGGAGTTGATTCCCGAGGTCTTGAGGACATCACGCACATGGATGTCATTATACCAGGTGTTAAAGACATCTGATGATTTTCGCGAGGGAGAATTGAGCCTTGAGGCAGCATAGAGCAGGCCCGAAGTAGACATTTTGGTTGTGTGGTCTCCTTTATTTTCTGTTAGAGAGTGATAATGTGGTTGGAGGGCAAACTTGATGGATGATGTACGCACTAAGTACTTAATAGTACCGGGTCTGAAGAGGGGATAGATTGGCGCTCGGCTAGTGGTATGTTGTTCAGCTGAGGGCTGGGTCCACTCTTGAACGAGAGTTTGAGATTGCTAAGGTGGACACGGCGTGAGATTGACGAATAATGCCATTCAAATGAACTTCGAGGTTCTGATTCAACAAACACGAAATGTACCTCAGCAACATATACCACAATCTGTCACTTTACTTTCTATCAACTGAGACTCCATGTATGGTCACTTTCTACTGTCGGAAAACTAGATATTCCGATAACCTTCCTGGGTTTACTGTAAACCCTAATTCTTGACTGAACTCATTTTTCTGAGGACAATCTTGCGGATTGGGCAGTTTTGAATGTGTGCTAGGTTTCAATTCTAATAATAAATGCTACCCTTTTATGACCCCGCTCGACTTATGATCATTTTAGTGTCAGGAATCTGCTGGACCCAACATACCCATCGCGTTCGGGACGTCCCGAGCTTCCACAACAGCAAAAAATATATCTGAACTAGTACATCTGGTGGACGAACCTCAGAGTTGATCTATGTTTGGATTCTTTTCTTTCCAGAGGCTAGACACAAGCCTTACTGCATTTCCCGCATTGCAATTAGGTGAAAGCCATGCCTTATAGTGGTGTGGGATGTGAAGCACAAATTCCGCACACATACCAACAGATTTCATATCAATGTAGACTAAGTTACGGTCCGCCATCATATCAACACGACCAAGCTACAACACCAAATTTTGATCGTCTTACTGGCAGCTCAAGATCTACATTGCAGTTTTACCATAGTGAGCGACGCATATCTAAACCTTCTATCCTATTCAGCTAGCCAGCTACAACCTTACAGTTCCCCGGTTTGATCTCCATTCTTGGCATGTTTCATCTGACAGCCACCCATTTTACTCCTGCATGCCTACGGAGGATATAAATAGCGATGGAGTATTCATTTCTCCTCTGTCCAGCTTCTGCCTCGCTACAGGCCTGCAAAGATCTCAGCAATCATGGGTCTGGCGGATCTCTGCGTGGACGTGGTCCTAGAGTTCCTGCGCTATCTTACTCTAGATGAACTGTTGTCGTTCAGGATAGTTTGTCGTATGCTTTGTCTTTCCCGGATAGTCTAGTCGATACTGGCTGGACGCGAGATACTAATTCAGCTTGTGTATAGGTTATCTGAATGAAGTTATCGTGGTGAACCTTCTCTATATCAGTACAGTGGACAAGCGCATCAGCAATCGTCTATTGTCCCGGGTTCTACTCGAATATATAAACCAGGATACCGCACTCAAGACCCAGGTTACTAAGATCCGAGACTACCTGAGAACATGTGCAAGTGAGCATGACCGCAAGAAATGCAGCACGAGCCGTTGCTTGAGAGCCATCAGCGTTGCCCTGACCACGTATAACGGTCGGGAGTGGGTGCTCCAGAACTACAGAACCGCCGTGATGCCTTGGATAGAGTCATGGGACAAAGACAACAACTGCATTCCCTTTCTTCTGGCAGCTTGGATGGGCTTACAGAGAATTGTTATATCGGCCCTGGAACAGGGCATACATGCCAATACAAGCCATCCTTTTCTCGGGGCCGCCTTGCACGCTGCAGCGTACAACAATGACACCGTCCTAGCCAAAGAGCTCATCTTACGCGGCGTCAATAGGAGAAAACGAGATGGCGCCTTCGGAGACACGTTCCAGCTTGCAGCCTACAGAGGGTCTGATCAGTTCATCCACACGATGTTGATGGCTGATCCGGGTTTGCGAGTCCAGATTTCTCAGACTACGTCTACCTATGGTCCATTTGGAAGTGCATTCAATGCAGCAGCAGCAGCAGGACATGATCGAGTGGTGAGGATGCTCTTGGCGCACAAGGCGAAGCCAAATATCCTTGCTCCTATGCAGAGGACCGCAATGTTCCTGGCTGCAAGAAGTGGTAGAGCAAATGTGGTCGAGCTGTTGCTCCATTCCGGGCTGCCTGACCCCAATGTCCCTGACTGTCATGATATATCGCCTTTGTTAGCTGCTATCCAGGGTGGCCATGAGCCAGTCGTTCGTCTTCTTCTCCAGATCAGCAAAGTCAAGTTGAACGACACCGGACGTGATGGCAACATCCCCGCTCCACTGATGGTCGCTGCTAGCCAGGGCAAAGCCCGTATTGTCCGAATGCTCTTGAAGCGCCCTGATATCGACGTCAATCGCTATGCACAAGGGCTACCTTCAATCTTCGCAGCTGCAGACAACGACCACGCAGATGTAGTGAGCTTACTGCAATGCAGACGTGACATTTACCTTTTCACCCCGGACCAGTCTCAATACCTCCTGAATATAGCAGTCTCCCACGGCCAGACAGACATAGTCAGAACACTGCTAAACAACGGACATCACATCGACCCACACATCCCAGACAGCAACGGCCAAGCATCTCTCCACATAGCAGTCACCAAGAACCGCATAGACATCCTAAATCTCCTCCTCACCTACCCCTTCACAGACCCCAACCACACAGACACCCAAGGCCGCACGCCTCTCATGCTCGCCGTCCTCCACAACCACCACCACATCATCCACCTACTCCTACAAGACACCCGAACCCGCTACGACATCACCGACAACAGCAACACGACACTCCTAATGCACGCCATCATCAAGAACAACGACACCGTCTTCCATACCGCCCTCAACCACAGCACCGACCACCACCTCAACACCCAAAACACCACCGGCTCAACAGCCCTCCACCTCGCCTGCATCACCAACACCACCTTCGCCCTCGAATCCCTCCTCTCCATCACCACCATAAACCCCAACCTCCAAACCACCCAAGGCCTCACCCCCCTCCACTGCGCCATCCTCCACAAATCCACTCAAGCCATCATCTGGCTCCTCGAAACCCCAACCATCTCCCCCCAACTCCCAGACCACAAGGGCACAACACCCCTATGTCTCGCCATCGTACAAAACAACCTCATCACCGCAGACCTTCTCCTCTCCCATCCCCTCGTGGACATAAACCACCCATCCTCTTCCCCATCCCCATCACCCGAGAACCAATACACCCCCCTAATCCTCACCACCATAACCAACAACCTCCCCCTAACGCACCACCTCCTCCACCACCCAGACATAAACCCCAACCTCCCCGACGCCAACGGCGACACACCTCTCGCCCACGCCGCCAAACACGGCCACATAACCATAGCCAAAGCCCTCCTCGCGCACCCAGCCACAAACCCACACTTACGACCCCAGATAGCAGGGGGCACAGTGGGTGCACCGCCCCTCGTCCACGCCGCGGAGAACAACCATCTGGAGATGGTGCGACTTCTCCTGCTAAGCGGGGTGTATCCCGATGCGCCGGACCGGTATCTCCGCACGCCGTTGATCGCTGCAGCGGAACGGGGCCATACGGAGGTAGCGAGGGAGTTGTTTCGGCTTGGGGGTGGGGATGTGGATGTTGAGCATATGGATGTGAGGAGGATGACGGCGTTAAGGGTCGCGGCGAGGAATGGACATGAGGGGGTGGTGAGGTTGTTGGTGATGGAGGTCGGGGTGAAGGTGGATTTGGGGAGGAGGTCGGGGATGAAGTTGGTGGAAGAGGTGAAGGGGTTGGGGTTTGGGGGGGTGGTGAGGTTGTTGGAGTCTGGGGGGAGTGGAAGTGGAAGTGGGGGGATGTATGGGTTCTTTTAAAGGTAATCATCTGTCATGCTGTCTGTCACTGGGATGGTAGGTAGGTTGAATGGTAGTTGTTGTTCATTTGTTACTCCCTAATTTCACATTAAGGTTTCAACTTGAGGATAGCTGAAGCTAGCACTCCTGCTTTGCAATACTGGCTTTTCTTCTGGTTCGCCGAGCAAAGAAAAAAGACTAACCCGCAACACCCCATGGGAGAACTCACGCTATATGTACAGAAGATAAACACTAATAAAAAAAGTAACGAATAAACCCATTGCCATGCCGGTTCCGAACCCATGGACTGTAAAGTAATGCGACAAACGATGCTTTGTACGCCAGAGGGAAGATGTGTGTGTGTGCGTGTGAGACGACGAGGATAAAAGTATAAGGAGAAACCGTTCTAATACAGCGAGAAAACAAAACAAAACGGAGTGGGGGACATCAGACAGGGCTGATGTTCCTTTACTCCGTCTTTGGTGAAGAGGCCATATACCATACAATCATATGGGGATTCCGAAACGCGTGGACGGATCAGGTGGATTGACTCGGGTCGAGGTATCGAGTCGAGGGCTAAAATACAGTTATGAGGGAAGTGGCGGCTGTTGGCGTTTACAGGATAGCCTTGCTCAGGACCTGTTGAGACATAACATGTTACTCATATGTTCATGAAGGGGATGATTGAATAAGGGGGCAGAAGTAGACTTACAGTCCAACCACCAGCAATGCCGGCAACGATACCACCCGAAATCACCATAGGCTTAAGACCCCTCGTGCTCTTGAAGACCATTCCACTCAACGCACCCGCCACAATGCTGTTAGCAGCATCGTGCTTACCCCTCGCGTAGCCCAGACCGGAGTTAAACCCGTTGTAGACCATCGCGACCACACCAGCCGAGTTACCGAGGAAAGGTCCTCGTCTCGTAATGGAGTTGAGAGCACCGTTGAGGCGGATCTTCGGCGGAGCGGTGACGGGCGTCTTCTTCAGTCCCTCCGCCAGACCCCAGGCACCACCGAGAGTCAAACCAGCGAGGTAAGTCGTTCCTGTTCCATAGCAGAGGTCGTCAGACCATCCACGGGAGGGCAGCACAGAGCGCGATCCGGGTGTTTGGTCGAGCGCGGAGTCTTCGAGGGTGATGTAGTCGAGGGTATCTTGGTTCAGGCCGGCGAGGGGATGGAGCTGAGAGGGGTCGGGAAGATCGGCTAGGAAGCTGGTAGCATCTGGTGCTGATGCGGTGGCCTCGGAGCCCTTGGATTGTTTGCGACCGGTGATGGAGTCCCAGATGTTCGACATGTTGGATAGTGAGGTGGTTGAGTTGGCGGGAAGGTGTGAGTGAATTTATTAAACAGGTTATGGAGAGTATGAATACAGATAGGAGAATGAAGAGAGAAAAGGGAAAGGAGATAAAGGAAAAGGAAAAGAGGAGGAGATCAGAACACTGGCGAACAATCCGAGAGCTTGGAGAGGGATTGGAATTGAGGTTCTGGTGACTGCGCGGTTTCGTCGGAGCAAAGAAGGTGACAGTAATAATTCCAGGCCGAGAAACAAAAACTTCAGCCCCGTGACTTGGTCCAGCTTTCTGCCAGAATTTCCGGGCCGGCAGTTTATCGAACATTTCCCGTTTGGGTCGAGCTTACAGGGATTATTGTTGTCCCGGCACTAACCCGATTCGGAGACCCGCTCTCGAAAATCCACAAGAGGCAAAAGTCGCGATTGGAAACGCGGGGGCGGGCTCGTGCTTGGGTTTTTTTTCTTTTCTCTTGTAAATGGTTGATATCTGAACCCACTCGTTGAAGGTTGCCATGCTGTACTTGTAAGAAGACTAAAAGTATGGTCGGTAATCCTGCGTCTGGCACCCCCGGGGATGCCGGGCTCCCACTATCAGAAATGGAGCAAGTATCGCGGAATATAGAACTTTTGCCCGAGGAGACCCTCGTGCGCATTGGGAAAGGCCCGCTGGTGAAGTTCACCAATTCTTGTGAAGATATTGAGTAAGAGTGTTTCCAAATATTTGCTTATTAAGTTGTCTGTTGCGTGCGCAAGTGGTTTTCAATATGAATCTATTCTGACTATCCCCAAAGGAAAGTGAGCCGAGTCTTCCAGTCGCTACTGAAGACATATTCTACGGCTTCTCTTTCTCATCCGCACACCACTGCTGCGTGTAATGCAATCAGTGCCTTTTTGGACGCTGCGCGGACCTCCACCCGTGAGGGAACGAGGCAGCTAGCCCGCTCTGATGAAACTTGGCTATCTGTATTCGAGGTCTTCATGACCCGGTACAAGGATGTCAAGCCCAAGCCGATGAAGCAGGTGCTGGAGTCGCTGGTTGCCCTGTTGGCCAAGACTCGTCAAGAGATTGACCGGTCCGCGCTCCGCCAGAAGATCGTTGAGGCTACGATCCCTAGCATCGTCCTTGGCGAGCCTCGTGCTCGACTGAAGGCTTCTTTCGCCTCTCTAGAGATGCTTTTGCGCAAGAGTGCCATCACGCCGTTAGAGCTGGTCTCACTGACGGACCAGTGGCTTGTAGATCACTACGAACAGTGGACGGCGCTTTTCAAGGAGGACTGCAAAGCTCTGTCTATTGATTTCTCCCAGTATCTTCAGAAAGGTTCTGGCAGGGAGACGTACCAGATAGCAGCTCAGATTCTGGTCCTGGGAATGCTGGCTCGCGCTACCAAAGCGGAGCTTGCTGCCTCTTCAGGTGACACTTTGGCGGCATTTCTCCAGAGAGTGAAGGCTTCGCCAGACGCTCAGGACTTGAAGTCTGTTTGGGTGGCACCCGTTCGCCATGTGTCGTTGCGCAACCTGGATAACCTGGAGTATATGTCCAACTATGTTCTCCAGCCGTCGTTCGCGACTGATCCGGCTGGCTTCAAGTCGTTCATTGAGCGGCTACCTCTGAGCAGTCTTCTGGCTGGCGATATGAGCGATGCCCCGCTGGCGGAGTTCATGCTATTATTCGCTTCGTTGCAAATCGCCAAGAAAATCGGGCTGATTCACGAAGATCGTAAGTAGTGCTGTATAGTGGGCCGAGCAATGGACTTACCTTCGCCAGATTATATCCCCAAGGCTGGGGCCAGCGACGAAAATGTTCTTGTCTTGAAGAGCGAAACCATCGGCCAGTTCCTCTTCCATCGCGATATCACTATCAGAATCGCGACACTTTCCCTGCTGATCACTGCGCCCTCCACGACAAGGCCAGTGTCTTCTGCAACAATGAATGCCATTCTTAGCGGACTGCCGTCTATGCACACCGAGTCGGACTCCTATTCAAGAGGCGAGATCTTGAGTCTGATTCGCAAATTGATAATCCGACTCAAGGGAGGACTCTTGGAAGATCAGGACGGCCTGACCGAGCAGAAAGCCCCAGCGAACAAAAAGCAGCAGCCCAAGCTTGCTCGGAACGACACCACCACTCGGGCGTGTATGCAACATTATGTGGATTTCTTGAAGGCCGACCTGCGCCCCACGGCTTCTTACCCACGCCACGTTTCCGCGCTGAAGACCTTGATACTCCTCCTCCAATCCGGTCTCGATTCTCGACTCAAACCATCGGATGGTGTTAAGACAAAGTGGCTCTGCAACGTGGAGGTGTATGAGCCTACTTTGCTGAGACTGCTGGTTGATCTTCTGCTCGATCCATTCGAGGAGGTACGCGCTACTTCGCTTTACATTCTGAACCTCTTCCCACGGGAGGTATTATTCGACAACGACAAGCAAGCTGGCGTACCACAAATCATTGAGGGTCTCGCAAAGGCCGAACAACTGGCAAGCAACACCAGCAGAGCTGACTTTGCAGACACCGTTGCTCGTCTATACCATATCCTCTTCCGCGCAGCCGCCGTGGATGGTGCAAGTGACGCTGCACGCTGGTGGGAGAACAAGTCCATGGTTGTCGATACCCTTCTGAAGAAGTTGGAGCAAAAGCTCTCCCTTGCCGGCGGCCTGTTTAACTCTTCTATGCGAGACGCACCTTTGCATGGATATGTATCCGCTTTGAGGTAATTACAATGTTTTATTCGTCCGCCGCGGAGCTAACAGAAACTAGGTACATTGTTGCGACCCCCAATTTCTACTCGTTTGTTTCCAGCAAGGAATCATCATATGAAAATTGGAAGGCTATTCATCTCAGGATCGTGCAAGTCTGCGACAAGATTTGGAACGAGGTTAAGCCTGTTCTTTGCATCGACTCGCCGGAAGGCCATACGGATGAGCCCATTGAGGAGCTTGGTGTCGGTCCTAAGGATATCTTGTCTTACTCATGGCGTGCTCTTCGCGAATCAAGGTGTGTTGCGTCTTGCGCTGGATTGAATGTTCTTACTAATTTCGTAGTCTTCTCCTGCATGCCTCACTTTCCAACAAAACGTACGGCCCGCAAGGCGAGTCTGGATTGACGGTCGAGCATTTTGAGAAAATCGGAACACTCAGCTTCATCCAACTTGCTGAACTCCGGCACAGAGGTGCCTTCTCCACTGTGTCTCAGACATTTGCTACTTGCTGTCAGCGGTGCGGCCAGTCAACCAGCGAAGAGATTTTCGCCCTGCCCAGTCGGTGGTACCAGGTAAGGAGATCATCTTGACTGAACGATCCAAGCTCACCATTATACAGGAAGCGAAGAAAATCATCTTCGAGTCCGCTTCGAAGCTTACACGTCGCTCAGCTGGTCTGCCAGCTTTGATTGTCGGTATCCTTTCATCAAAGCCTGGTGGTCCGCTCTTCCAAACCGTCATCAATGAGCTGCATGAAATCTCTCATCTTCCCGCGGAACATGATAAGTCGAGGCAAGACGTACCGTTGCCACAGGTGCATGCAATGAACTGTCTGAAAGACATCTTCACCAACAACAAGCTTGGTCCCCACACGGAGCCTTTCATTATGCCTGCCTTGAGGCTCTCGGCTGAACGGCTGGGGTCGCCTATGTAAGTGCTATTTACGGCCGCGTCTTTCTATATACTGACTATTATAGATGGGCACTCCGTAACTCCGGACTGATGCTGTTCCGTGCTTTGTTGACGCGCATGTGCCGCACTGGTACTGGACTAGGATTCGGTGGAGCTTCAGGCTCAGAACCAGGTGCCAGGGTTTCCTTCCAGAAGTATCCTGGCCTCTTTGAACTCCTGCCGACCCTTCTCAGCCCATCGGACCAGAGCAACGCCAATGACGGCGATAATGCTATGGTTACGGAGCGTGTTTTCCCAGCTTTGGAGCTCATCGCAGAGAAGGTACCCAATGTCACCGGAGTTGATGACGATGTGCTCCGTGGACTTGTCAGAGAACAGTTCAAGAGTCCAGTGTGGGGTATCAGAGAACATGCAGCCCGAGTTTATGCTTCATTGCTGAACCGTTCGGATGTCCTGACCAGCATCAAGGCGTTGTTGAATGATAAGAGAGACACGAAGACCCAAGACTATCTCCACGGAGAAGCCCTTTGCATCAAGTACTCTCTTAGGAGATATGCCTCGAGCTCTCTCTCTTTCTGGAACGGTATGCTCGTAATTAACAGGCGGTGTATTTTCCTTGCTAATAATTCCCAGAGCACGTTGATGAGGTATTGTCTACCCTGAAAGACGTCTTTGCAGCATCCTTCCCGTTTGCAGAGTCTCCGTTCGTGGCCAGTATTCTGTTGGAGGTTCTTGGCGATGTCATCGAAAAGTGCATAGAATCAGGAGCGGAAGGTAAGTCAAATTCAACTCGCGATAACACGCGCTAACAGATGCAGGACAAATGGCTTCGACGCTTAACTATCTCTGCGAAGCTTATTCTTTCGCCGCCATCCGGGAGTTCTTGTTCGATTCTTCGCATCCTTCCTGGAAGACTCTGAGCACCACACGCGCTCCCTCTCTTCTCCGTCGGGCCATCTCATGGGTCACTGTCCTGCAGATGTTCATTACGAACAAATTGTCCGAAGTCGAGCCACTTCTTGGAGATATTTCGCGCTTCGACCCCAATGCTGGTCAATGGTTGTTGGAGCGCATCCAGGAGATCATCGGCGAGCGAGTCCAGTACAGACGAGCTCTGATTGACCTTTATTATACCGTTATCCTTGGCGCTTATCCAGAGGAAGTCAAAGCAGTAGCGATCACATGCCTGGCATCTGCTCTGTCGTTTGTCCTCGACTTCCACAATGACACTGTCTCTCAAACCGACCTTTCATGGGCATCCTTGGAAAAGCACCTCAAGCACGCTTCTACCGAGCACATATGGAACAGGGACCGATCGGACGCCGAATTGGTTCTTGAGGGATGTCTTCTTGCCCTGAAGACGATCTCCGGTGGCCAGAGCTCAGAGCTGAACATCCTTGAATGGGCCACACGGCTCCAGTCCGCCATGCAAGAGGAGACAGTAAGTCCAACGCATTTCTACGTTATAACAAGCCCTGATAACACCTCACAGGAATTCACTACGCGCTTGGCTGCCGTATCATCCGTCACGGCGTTCGCGCGCATCCTGCGCCCTGCTGGCAGCTCCCCTCGCACCGACAGTGTCTTGTTGGAGATCTACCTGGTTCTATACGACATGCTGAATGACGACGATGAGGAACTGCGCGATCTTGCCGCATCGACCGCCTCCTGGGTCCTGTCATGCTCCTCTGTCTCTCCAACAAAGGCAGTTGCGCTATCTCCTCTGAACGCAAGCGAGCTCCTTTCGAAGTTCATTGCCGAGAACTACGCCAGCTCACGCCTCCTCTGCCAGCGGTCCATGGCGTACATTGCCGACCAGGAGCCTAGACTTAGCAGCGCCACCCCTAAGTTCGTTTCCTTTCTCAGCCGTCTTTCTGAGCTCCGAAAGGAAAGCACCATTCTCTTTGAAGAAGAAAAGCAGAACCTCTTCATCGACGAAGTTCGCGAAGTAGACGTTTGGTCCGCGAGGTTGCGTCAGCTGAACGAATCTTCCTACGATGAGAGCTCACTCAACGCACTTTTCAGTTGGGTGTCCAATGGACTGGCCTCCCTTGAGGAGATTCTCGCAAAGGAAACTGAAAGGGATGGGCTTCTGGGCTGGGCCTCGAAGCCTGAGACGTTCACTCTGGGTGTACGGGTTTTCAGTGTTGCGGGTGCCGTGATCTCGAATGATTCTGCGGCGTCGAGACTTTTGAGTCAGGAACAGATTGCTTTGTTGAAGGAGAAGCTCCAGGCGCTGCTTACTTCTGGCGAAGAGTCTTTGTTGCATGATGATTGGGTCTCACGGATACAGGCTGCCTTGGAATTGTCATGATCGATGAATTTGGATAGAGAAAAGTATAGTGAATTTACGTTACGTTACTAGAGTTAGATGGTTTCTTCTTGGTGTGCAAACAATCACTACATCAGCAGACAATACATTCACTGGCACGGCATCAGGCGACTTGTTTACGCTCATCTGCCACTTACACCTCTGGATATCATCGCCGTATGTTGGTGCGACGCGTCGTCTACTCTTACCTTTCATGGTTTGGGATTGACATGACCAGTGAAGGCATGAGTCCATCTCCCTACAAGCCGCAACACTACTTACATACCTGGTTAGCCTAACGAAACATGTCACCTAACGTTGTAATTGTGGTGGTCCTGGCCGCCATGGTCCTCTTCATCGCAGTCGTGGTCTGTCTCTGCACAATCTGGTGGCGACACAGCCTCCGCGCCGGCTACCACAACGACCGCTTCCAGCGATCTCGGACTGGCCAACGCGACACGACCGTCAAGAAGACAGAGCTCGCAGAGCGAGGCGCAGAGAGAAAATGGCAAGAAGGAGGAAGAACGCCGGCTCAACCCAGCAGACAGAAGACTCCTGCACCTCCACGGCGACCACCACCTCCTCCAACTCCACCTCCGCCACCCCGACCTCTCCCACCCGCTCACGGTGGTAATTCAATCCGTCATGACAATCAGCCGTCGAGGCAGGAGTGGCCTTCTGTACCTCCAGCACGTAGCAACAAACCCCCGACGCCGGAGGAATGGGGCCCTGCACCTCCATCCCGTGGTAGCAAGCGCACACCCAGTAAACATGGGACGCCTGCTGCTCCGACTCCGGCTGCTAAAGTACCGACTAAGCCTCCGTCGCGGGACGAGTGGGAGGCTGAACCTCAAGCTCAACCTCCTAGTAAGGCGGCTTCAGATAAGGAATGGGCACTACCGCCCGATCCGCCATTTGTTGCGTCTGGAGGTGTCAAGCGCGGTTCAAAGAAGAGCTGGCAAGCTGAGAGCAAGCCTGCTTCTAATAGAGGGGGCGCCTATGATACGCAAGGTTACCAGCAGCAGCAGCAGCACGGAGGAGTCGATCCTAATGCGTTGACAGCGGCATTGCAGCAGGCGAATGAGGAGACACACGAGGAGCCTGCAGAACCAGAGGGTGGATGGTAGGGGGAGTGCTGTGGAATAAGTTGAATAACGTGGGAGTGGAGTGTAGCATTGATAGTTCTATTTAAGGCGACGGAGATGGTCGCTGCCGGCCGCCCGAGGCGGTGACGTTGATCCCCGCGAGAGAGCCGGCGATGCCTTCGGGATTCCCCAGCTCATTCCCTCCTCCTGTCCTCCCTGTTTCTGTCCCTTAGTCTCGTGAACTTAGCCTCTGCTTTCTAATCCTCCTGTCTGATTCATGATTTGATCTGTCACACCCACTCTCTTAGTATCTAGGCTGCTCCATCAGCCCCCCGACGCCATGTGGAACGACGAGGATAATAACCCGTACGGCGCATTCGATAACGAGGCGCATCTCTCCGAGTCGCTGCATTCGGCCACCCTTTCTCCCAGTAAGCTGTCAATCTCCATCTCCGACCATCAATTATCCAGCTGTATTTTCTAACTTCTGCAGCTCTCTATGACCGCGAATATACCCCTCCCTCTCCTTCCAGCCGATCATCCACCGACAATCCCCCGGACTTCCTCTCACAGCAACAGGACCTCAGCGACGAAGACGATGCTCCAGACTATGCTGCCCAACCTGCTGGCCATGGCTACCTTCGCAAGAGTGTATATGATAGTCGGATAGAGCAGATTCTTTACGAAAACCCGGAGATGCCGATCCTCATCACAGACGCTGGGAAGAACCACGAGGGCGGCGGCAGCTTCATCGTGTACACAATACGCACTGGAGTATGTCAGAATGATGATCGAAGCTGCATCAGCACTTGTGCTAATGGTTTCTAGGATCTGGAGGTTCGCAGACGGTATTCTGAGTTCGCGTCGCTGCGACAGACCCTTGTCAACCTTCATCCCACCCTCGTCATCCCGCCCATTCCCGAGAAACATACCATGGCCGATTATGCCGCCAAGCCCACCAAAGCTAAGGAAGACACCGCCATAATCGACCTCCGCAAACGCATGCTGGCCGTCTTCTTGAATCGTTGTCGCCGGATGAAGGAGGTCCGTGAGGATGGAGTTTGGTGGCGGTTTTTGGACCCCAACGTTAGCTGGGTAGGTGTATGATAGCTCGACTCTAGCTGTGGTATACTGACTTCGACCAGAGCGAGGTCCTACATTCCCATCCTGCATCATCTGTGCCAAAGAATAATCTCAAGGCTCCCCCGCTTGACCCCGCCAATCCTACCCCCGCTCATGCCTGGCTCCCAGTCCCATCATCATCCGCGAAGCTCAAGTCTGCAGGAGGCGCTACGCCTGCTCCTGCGCCTGCTCCGGAAACACCTGGGCCTGATGTTCTCGGTCGCTTCCCACCAGAGTCACGGAAGCTGAGTGAAAAGGAACTTGACCCATACTTTATCAACTTTGAGGCGTCTACTCGTGAGTTGGAGCTACTTTTGCAAGGGAACATTGAAAAGGTCAATCGTCGCACGTTGGCCCACCTATCATCCTTGTCAGCCGATCTGATGGAGCTGGGAGCACGGTATAACGGATTTTCCCTGTCGGAGCCATCGCCGACCGTCGCAGCAGCCATCGAACGAGTGGGCCAAGCCGCTGATACTTCCTACATTGAGACGGAGGAGCTGTCGTCGCAACTGAGTGCCAGCTTCGCGGAACCGATGAGGGAAAGCGCCCAGTTTGCCAGCGTTGTGCGCAGTGTTCTGCGCTATCGGGTCCTCAAGCGGGTGCAGGAAGAGATGACGCGAGACGAGTTGGCTAAGAAGAAGACGCTGCTCGACTCTTTGGAGCGCAGTGAAATGGAAGCGAAACGCATTGAGCAGTACCTTAATCGGACTTCGCCTCCAGGTGGGGCCACGAGAACGCAGCGGTCTCTGTCCGCATCGTCGGCTGTCAGTGCGCCAGGAGGCTCCGAGGGCGAGGCCCGTCCAGCTGGTTCTGAAGACGGTGCATCAGTCGACTCGGAATTCCCTCCTACGCACGGTGATTCCATCAACTCCCATCCACCTCCGGCAGCACAGCGGCGGCCAGACTTTGGCGGTGCATCCCCGGCGCATCGCAAGACGTCGAGTGGGACGTTTGTGGCGAACAAGATCTTCGGTCGGATCAGCCACGCGGTGCACGGCTTTGTGGATGTTGATCCGGAGCGGACCCGCCGCGACCAGATCGGCAAGACGAAAGAGAGTTTGGTGCAGTTGGAGCAGGCTCTTGGGGTGTCCGAGAAGGATGTCAAGGATGCCAGTGCGGGAGTGTTGCAGGATCTGAAGCGGTTCCAGAAGGACAAGGAGATGGATCTCCGGCGGTACATGGTAAGTTCATGCTGTTGTTTCCTCGGGGGAATGAAGCTGACTGGATAGGTTGCATATGCACGATGCCATCTGGATTGGGCACGCAAAAACCTGGAGACGTGGACGGAGGCGAAAGATGAGGTGGACAAGATTGTAGTCAGGTAGGATATCTATCTAGTGCTAAGGGTATGGAGCGAGGGCGTTGGTTTGTGCTTAGCATGACTTCCAGCTGCCACTTGTGATGTCGGCTATGAGCTGGATAAGACATGCGTTGATCCCAGTACCCTGTATGCTATTGATGCGTATAATGATGTTCCGGCTACTTGAACTGCCATGATCCATATGCCATAATCACAGCGAAAATAATCGTAGCTACCGAACCTAGTCAATGTAGATGTGTAACCACCAAGCAATGGTGATCCTCGCACCTCACTTTAGCTAAGACGGCATCACATGCCGTCCCGCTGATTGGCCCGTTGTCTTACTGGGGGCGGATCGACGATCATCGCCGAACGGACGGGCCATTTCTTCCTGATATTTATTGAACTCCTTTCCCCCGTCCATCTCGCTAGCGCTGACTGCTGTTGTTATGCAGCTGGCTTTGCAGTGTGTTTCCAGCATCAGATATGTAAGTCATTCCCCGGAACAAGACAGAAATGATACTAATTGGATATGTAGATGAGAAACATCAGGAAGGGGTTCGCCAAGACCTACCATCATCTATTCATGATAACCGGCCACGAATAACTGAAGTGTCGAGTGTCACTTGCCAGGATACAGGGTGCTGCCATACCCCTCTTTTCAGTCTATATCCTGAATATCGCATCATCGCTATCCCGAATTGCAACATACTCACCAGTTGGCAATCCCACATGCACTGAGCATCCATATATCAATCCCGCCACCAAAGAAGCAAGCAAGCAAGCAAGCAATGAACCACCATCCCATCACCACACAATGACCCCCAACTGGTCCCAACTATGGACCTTCATCACCAACCTCAAAGACACCACCAGCACTAACTCCATCTCCCCATCCCCATCCACCCTCCGTCGCATCATCAAATCCCTCTCCCTCCTCACCTTCTTCTCCATCCTCCTCTACGCCCTCTACATCCACTTCCAACCCTCCACCATCGCCCAAACCCCCGAACTCCCAGAATCACCAGACCTCCCTCCACCCACCCCAGAAGACACCTACAAATCCATCTACGGCTACCCCCCAACCAATCCCACCATCCCAGCCCTTCACATCCACGACCCCAGCATCCTCTACGACCTCTCCACAAACACCTACTACGCCTACGGCTCCGGCCCTCACATCCCCATCCACTCCGCCCCGACCCTCCAAGGCCCATGGACCAAAGTCGGCACCGTCCTCGACGCAGATAGCATCCTACCCAAAGGTGATCGCAAAGCCCCCTGGGCACCGACCGCCCTCCTCCACGACGGCACATTCTACGTCTTCTACGCGACGAGCCATAGCGGATGTCGTGATAGCGCCATCGGCGTAGCCACCTCATCTACCCCGGGCCCCGGGGACTGGGTCGATCACGGCGCGATAGCGATCTCCGGGCGGGGGGAACGGGGGAGGGAGTTTCCCTTCGATAGGGCGAATGCGATTGATGTTAGTGTTGTTGTGGATTATACAGACACCACTCAATCCCAACCCCAGCGCTCCGAAGGAGAGACCTCTCTCAAAGAAGGCGGTGACAAGAAAGCGAAAGGAAAAGGATACATGACCTTCGGCAGTTTCTGGACAGGGATATGGCAAGTCCCGCTGAAGCCTAACCTGCTTCATATGGACAAGCAAGAAGATGAAGAAACAAGAGTGAAACATCTAGCCCACGAACCAGCAGCTATCCACCCACCCACCAAAAAAGCCGATGGATTATGTGGCGATACGACGGGCATGCATCCCGTCGAAGGGGCGTTTATATCCTATCATGAGCCATGGTGGTATCTGTGGTTTAGTTGGGGGAAGTGTTGCCATTTCGATCCGGAGAAGTTGCCTAAGGCTGGGATGGAGTATGCTTCTTTCCCCTTCCCTTCCCCTTCCCCGCCCCTGTTATTTGTCATTATTGAGTGGCTGGAAAAGGTGTAATATACTGATCATGATGTTATGAATGGAACAGATACAGCATCCGCGTCGGACGCTCACCTTCCCCTCAGGGACCATTCGTGGATAAACAAGGGAAGGATCTCATGGATGGTGGAGGGGAGATTGTGTATGGCTCGAATGGGGATGTTTATGCGCCTGGGGGACAGGGCGTGTTGAGTGGGGAGGTGGAGGGGGATGTGCTTTATTATCATTATTGTGAGTATCCCTGGTACTTTACGGCCTGGGATGTATGGTGCTAATGGTGGGTGTGGTAGTGAATAAATCTGTGGGGTATGAGTTCAAGGTATGTTCATCGATTTATCTCTTGAGTCGGTAGTTGGTGATCTGGGCTAATGGGCATTCAGGAAGCACGGCTGGGATATAATTATTTGACGTATGTGGATGGGTGGCCGGTTCCACTGTGAGCAACTTTTAGTGTTGGAGTGAGAACTATTCGGACTCTTGTATAAATTCAGTTAGAGTATATAGAATATAATGTATGTAATATTCATGAAGAATAAGAACTATCACTATAAACACAGTGGATATTCATGTCCATAGTACAAAGCAGTAAGAACAAGCAGAAGGAGAAGGAAATACTCTACACTATTCTAACAACAGGAATCACTCCTCTATCCCACGGACCCGACAGAGCAAGAAACCATAAACTCCATCCATCTACAACAGAAACACCAACAAACTACCCTCCTCACTCCAACTGCACCCCCCTCCCCACCACCGAAACACCACCGCCGCCACCACTATCACCTTGCGCATGCCCATGTCCATGCCCATGACCATGTCCACGCACATATGATCCACCCCCAGACAACGGAATATATCCATCATCACCATACACCAGACTGGGACCTATATCCAGCAAGCTAATCTCACTCTCACTAAGAGAGAGATCCCGACTGCGAGGTCCAAGAAGCATGGTCTTATCTCCAGCTGTGATTCCATTTGCTTCTGTGTTTTTGTTTCGCTTCGTATTTGTAGCTTCAGAAGTAGTTGTGGTTGTATCTGAGATATCAACCTGGTCCAGGAAATGGACATGTGCAGTCGTAGACTTCGATTTCTGTTTCGCTTTCGATTTCAATCTGGTAGTAGTACTCGTAGTGGTTGACTTCGGGGTAGATTCACTTCCCAAAGAACTGAACTTTGAGGTAGACTGGATGCTGGGCTGATACCGAGTGTACGTCTGCATCTGAGTGGGAGTCGAAGCTGACGACGACGATGACAACGGATGAGAATGAGAATGTGAATGCGAATCTGCATGCATCCCCGAGAACGATCCCACCTCTACGTGCGATGATTGCATACTATCTTCTTCTTCATCATCATCATCCATCGAAGCAGAGCGCGGATGAAGAGACGAGAAATCCATCAGGCGTTTTCTTCTCGCGTTCGTGGTGTGAGGACTAGATGCGGATCCGTTTGGAATATTTCTGGTTTTCTGTGCTTCTCGCGATGAAGCCATCGGTGGATGATGCATTTTGGTTTGGTTTGAGATTGTGGTGGGTTGGGTTGGGTTTAGTTTGCGATGTATTGGTTGAGGTTGAGGTGAGAAGAAAGAGGTATATAGGTTGGATGTGAAGGAGGAGATTATGGGCGTTGGAAGGTGTCTGTCTGATGACTGCAGTGTCTGCTGGGGGGTTAAGTAGACATAACAGTAGAAAGGTAAGGTAAGCAGGAAGAAAGTCAAAGTAGAGCAGATAGATTTACAGATGGAGATGAGTGAGAGAACGAATTAGGCAGGTGAGGCTGTCAGTAGTAACAACACTTTGTGATTGACCTCACTTCTGTTCCCTAGTTTGTCAAGATTGCATCCGATGACAAGACATTTAATGACCAAGTATACGAACAACATGAAAGACCACATAACTTAAATTCTATGGCCTGGCTGGTATGAAAGTAGTAGTATATATTTAGCAGTAGCCTCGCATTGCAGCATCGCATGACAGCGGCCACATGCGTGTGACTCGCCATGACCTCCCACGTGGTTCATCCATACACACTCATCATCCCCATATCATCCCTCTGCAAAACATCATCTCACTCAACACACCTTTTTTTGCTCAAAACATCTCCAGCTGCTCCGAAAATACATGTAATGCAGGACGGCACCCGCCATCCGATCCCGTAAAAATGCATGCAACCATCCACGGCCCTCTCTATTCCCGGGCTGCGTAGAAAACAAAACACCATGGCTATTATAAGGGTCGTCGACTTCATTCCTCGAAATCATCATCCACTCTGCGAAAGGTCATTATCGCCATCCCCCGTGGGGCGATCTAAACACCTGTAATCATTCGTTGCACATTTCCAAAAGACAGTAAGAGAGATTGGGAGAATCATCCCCCTGTCTACGGCAGTGTCTGGTCCTCATCATGCACTTGGAGTTCTACCACCGGCAACTCATCCTCCTCATCATCGTCGCCGTCCGCTGCGAATGCCGAAATGTCCGGGAATGACGTCTCCTCCATCGGGGTACCTGGATAGGCGGCCCCGCGTGGACTGTCCATCAAAGAGGCCATCCGAAGGTCCGGGTCGCTGACGTCGCCGTCGTCTACCGCCCGGTTGCTCGCGTCATCGTCGAGTAGATCCTCGTCGTCAGTTGGGAATGTGGTCATCTGTGAAGGGCCGTGAGCATCTGTGGCGCGACTGAACGACCACGAGGGTGTGTCGTCCTGAGGGCGGAACGGGCTGGGCTGCGTGCCCCCGCCAATCTCCTCATCTTCGAAATTCATACCTTCCGATTGCGTCGCGCGATCTAGGCTCTGCTCGCCAAATGACGGGACGTTGGTGTAGCCCGGCGGCCAGTCATCATCCCCGCTCTTCGTTTGGGTTCCAGTTGGCAAACCACCATCTCCCGATTGGTGAGCTGCTCCGACTCCGGTTAAGGCGCTCGACGACCCATTGCGGGAGGAGCCGCCGAGACGCCGGCCTTCCCCCGACGGCGACTGTCCGCGAGACTCGGACTGCGAGTCCACGTCGCTGTTCGGCCGTGTCGACGCTTCCGTGATCTCCTCCAGCACCTTGCCGCCCAGTGGCCGGTCGGACCGGCGCCGGTAGAACAGCAGATACGCCGACGAGGTGACCACACTCTGCGGATCAATTGGTCGCGAGACGGAAGAATCTAACACAGTCAGTTATCTTTCGAAATTCTGCGATTCAAACTATCTTACCGTTGTACTCGTTCCACTGTCCGGTGAAAAAGTTCTTGGCGTACGCTGTGTAGTGTCCGCCACCAAGGCCTCCATAGTGATTGTCGACAGCGAAGAGGTCGTAGATCTGACTCTTGCCCTCTTCAGGCGACTCAACTCTGCCGGTCATATCGAGTCCTTCCACAGGGAAGTCGACCAGGACATCCAGCTTGTCGCGGAATCCTCGGCTGGCGCTGAACCTCTTGAGGTGCATGACCAGAATGTCCGGGGTCTTCCACAATTCGAACTTCTTGCTGGCCCGACGGTGCTCCTTGCAGCGGGGGCAGTACCAAGCATCGTTCTCGGAAAGGACCTCCTCCTTGTTGAACTCATCCAGACACTCGTAGAGCGTCACGCCCCGCTTCTTCCGGTTCTGGCGCAGAGTACGGCGCTTGCTCAGCTCCGGGTCAGGCACACGTTCGACGTCCGTCCATGTCGGCGCACCACGAAGGGAGTTCTTGTCTCGACTGCTTCCCGCGAAAAGAGCGTCGTGAGCTTGCTCAGTCCAGTCCACGACGATACCCTCACCGGGGCGGATCATCGGCCGGTCCTGAGCCTTGGGCTTAGGAGCCGATTCACCACTGGCACTGTCGGAGCTCTTATCTCCGGACTCGTTATCCTTCTGCTCCGTGCCATTTGTGCTGTCCACAGACTGTCCATCGCTTAGTAGAGATTCGGTTTAAAAAGAAAGGAGACTACCCACCTGTTTCTGCTTCTTCACCGGTGTCTTGATTCTGAACGACATCTTGGGGTACTCCTTGTGGTCATCCACGGTGGACCATCCAGTGGGAACAACCTCGCTGCTCGACTTGATGATCTTCATCTCAAAAAGACCGCGCACATTCGGGGGAATAGCGTTTTCGGAGCGGGCTGGAGCATCGCTTGAACTGTCATCTGCGTCACGCATCGAGACATCGACCATGCCGTCCTCACCGTCCACGGACGCGGTCTTGATCTTCGAGTCAGCCGACTCCGCATCATCCTCGTTCATTATAACGGTATCTGAGTCTTCATGGCTGATCTCTGTCGTGTTCTCCTCGTTCAGGAAGTCACGGGTGGTCATCGAGGCGACCTGCGACAGGACTTTGCGGAAGATCGTATCATAGTCCCCAAACTCCTCCCGGTTGATGACCACATACGACGGGACTCCGAAGAGCGACCGCTGCGCATTCTTAGGGTTGTTTCCCCGTTTCTTCTCGACTCGATTGAAGATGGGGACGAGCAAGCGGTCGGAGCGAGGCGAGTCCAGACTGGGGATCTCCTCATGATCCGAGCGGCTGAAGGAGAAGTAGCTCTTCTGGGGCTTGTCGGGGTTGTAGTTCGTAGGTACCGACTCGACCTCGTAGATACCAATGTCGTCGTTGCCGCTGATCTGGCACTCGGCAATCGAGCTCGTGTTGTCGAACATCTTGTAGAACTTGTTCTTGTAGATTTCGGCCATCACAAGGCGCTCGGGGTCGGTTCCCATTTTCTTTGCAACCTGCTCCTTCAGCGCCTTGACACTGGAGTTCTTGTCGATTTCGACATCAACAAGGACCGGCTTCTTATTCAGAGGGAAGTAGAAGATCTCCTTGCCCCAAAGGTTTTCGATCGGAAGCTGAAGGGTCAGGTTGTTGAAAGGATCGAAAATGATGCTGACCTTGTCGCAAGCAGGGCAGACCAGCGTCGATTTGTACATACCAGCAAAGAGGTCGGTAATGACGGAATCGTTGCGGGCTTTGTAGATGTCCCAGCACTTGTCCGCAAACTCCGCGAGAGCCTCCTTGTTATGCACCATCTCGTCCGTCGAGTCCGGCTTTTCAATGTAGGGCTTCTTCATGATACGGTTGAGATCCTCCTGGAGACCGTCCAGGAGGAACAGAAGGAATTCCTGGGAATCCTGCTGTCCGTAACCGGAGAAGGCCGGTCCATAACGGCCGATGGTGTGCTTCAGTTGACGGGGCGCAAACGAAGATTGACCTGCCTCATCGTACATCTGACGCAACATGTTCGCATATGCTTTAGCAACATCACCGTTGTGAGCCAGAGGATTGCTGGGGTTGAGATCCTTCTTGTAAACGTCATCTAGATAGATAGTTAGCAGGGTAAACTTTCAAAGTTCGGGAGTCTACGCACTCAAGAAATAGTAGGTCAATTCCTCCACGCTGCGAACGCACTGCAGGGCCGAGTTCATGTAACAGGTGTTCCCAAGGTTGCTCAGACCAGTGCAGCCGCGGGGTTTCCCGTCCTTGCGTCGTCCCCTGATGGGCTCTGAAACTGGGGATGATCGCCCGCTGGTAGCAGGACTCTTGGTCTTCACCTTTGCAGGAGCTCCGTTCTTCAGGTTACCGGATGGCACTCCCAGACGGTTGAGTGTCTGCTTGGAGGCTTCCGACACCCAGTCTCCGCTGGTTCCAGGGAGCTTCTCCTCCAACACGATGATTTCGCTGCTGTTGAGACCCGCAACGCCCAGAGTCATTTTACCATTGTAGTTGGGATTGTTCGTCTGGTCCTTCGGCTCATCGAGTACCTCACGCTGCGACCCCTCAGACAGGGAAAGGAAGGTGTTCAGGTCGAGAACGAGGTTGCTTCCAGCGTTGGCGATGAGGGAGGCGGACGGGGCTGGAGAAGCACTGCGGGATGCGGCTGGGGTGGCTGCTGCGGATGCCGTGGCACTACCGAGACCACCCAGAATCCTCCAAACGCGAACCTTTGTCGACATGTCGATGTGAGCAAGTTCTTTGGCGTTCTTCAGCCACTTCTGGAAGTTGGTGTGGCGACTGGCCAGGGTTCTCACTGGAGCCATCGTCTTCTCCTTCATCGTCTTGATGGAAGTGCCGGCAGACGGGTTCGTGAGCTTCAGAATTGTGAAGATCGGAGGGTTGATTTCGTATTGCAGGTTCTCCTGGTCGCCTACGGCGGCAGTGTTGTGAACGTAACGGACGATGGCCGGGGACTGTTCTGCCAAACCATACCACTGCATGATCAGGTCCCAGCCTCCTTGAGGGATGATCTCAAAATCTTCGCCGAGCTCCAAGCCAGGCCTCAAAGGAACAAAGGGTTCGCCCTCCTCGTCCTTGAAGCCCGTGTTGGCCGGGTCGGTGACCAGGACAATATCCGAGTTATCGACGGGACCGATGTCTCCCTCCATCGCCGTCTTGTCTGCCTTGTCTGCATGCGTAGCACTCCGCGAGTACACTCGCTTCAGCCACGAATTCGACACCACATATCCCTTTTGTTTTTCCTTCATGGGCTGCATCATAAACTGGGTCACCTGTGCGACCTGGTCATCGTAAGAGGGTCGATCAGCTGACGCAACGCCGGCCTCTGCTTTAGAATGGGCCCGGGTCTCTGTGGGGGCGGTATAGGTGGACATGCTGGAAGGAGTTGGATACACACTGTCCGACGCCGAGTTGGTTACGTTGTCGTCGCCCGAGGTGGTGGTTTCCATCGAATCCGGGTGGTCGGAACGGGTCTGGCTGTCGTCCTTTTCTGTCGGAACCAAGTCCATCTCCACATCGTTCACCTCATTCTCCGAAGCGGAGGTTTCGCGAGCATCGGCCCCGGCAAGCGGGAGGGTCGAGTCTCCCTTGTCGTCAGAGCCGGACATATCGGTCGCAGGATCACTGTGGAGGGTCAGGCCAGCGCAAGCGGCGGCGGGATAGTCGAGGACACTTCCAGCGGAGTCCGGGGTAGGGGAACGA